TGCTGGGGTTGTCCCATCATGCCTTGCGACATTCCGCAACCGCCATATCCTCCGAGGCCATCTTGGGCTTGCTGGGGTTGTCCCATCATGCCTTGGGACATTCCACAACCGCCATAGCCTCCAAGGCCGTCTTGGGCTTGCTGGGGTTGTCCCATCATGCCTTGAGACATTCCACAACCGCCATAGCCTCCAAGGCCATCTTGTCCTTGCTGCCCCATCATGCCCGGAGACATTCCGCAAGCACCACATCCTCCCATCCCATCCTGCCCCATTCCCTGAGACATGCACCCTCCTTGGCAACCCATACCGCTCATGTCGTTGGACATGCAGCCACAGTTGCCGCAACCATTCATGCCACAACCATAGCCGCCACATCCACAACCACCACCGCAACCCATCTGACACCCTCCACATCCACCACAACCCATCTGATTCATTTGGCCCATCTGGTTCATGCCCATGCTGTTCATGTCATTGCCCATCTGGCAACCACCCATGCCATTTTGACCATAAGGGCTGCTAAGTTGTGACATGTCTTGACTACTTCTCACTGCTCCATAGCCACTCTGCTGTGGCACAGGGCCCCCAGTCCCTCCGAGGACATTCTTCGCCACCATCTGCCCCGGTCGGTTGATGCTCGGCTCCATGTCATAGGTCACAATGTCACCGGGCCTGGGTAGAGTCCCCACACACTGCTTCACGTGCAAAAACACGTCCGGGCTCCCATCGTCTGTGGTGATGAAGCCGAATCCTGGAGCTGTTGAGACGGAGTGGTCAGTTCAGTGAGGTGTCGCCGAACTGAAGGACGGCCTTCCCACGAAAGGCGTTGGGGTGGAACAACAGACGGTCTCACAACAAGCACTGCCGATAGAAGGCGAGTGAACAAGCTAGCGTGGAGGGAGACTCTTTGGCTTGTTCACCCAGGATGCCAGAGTAAATGTTCTTCAATAGATATGGTCAAGGAAGGGGTCACTGCCGCACCGCTGATCCTGTACCACCTGCAATGCTGTGGGGGGCCTAAAGTTTAGGGCCTAAAGGGGTACGGGTCATGAGACGGGTCCGCTCGGTCCGCTTGGTCGGTCCTTTCTCTGCGTTGAAGGTCTTCACGGGGCCTTGTCGAGTTCCAAGACCTCGCCGCCCCACCGAGACGAAGCGGAGGCGGCGTGAATTGTTTCTCCGCCCAACGACGGACGACCGAACGCGCGCACGCACACGCACGCACACGCACCCGAACGTGACCCGGAGCGATGGAGGGTCCAACGGAGAAGTATGGAAGGTCGATGCGATCGCAGGAAAACATGGGATATGCCTCACGTGAAGCGTTTACCTCTTGAAATCAAGAACAAATCGCTTCCCAACCCATATATATATATATATAAATAAGGCAAAATCAAAATGGAGGAAGCGTGAAAACACTCAAAGCAAGCGGAACGGACATCGAAGCGGTTTCCCCAAAGAATAGACTTGTTTTTTGTTCAAATTCATGTGATCCATGTGTATATAAACCAGAAAACATACGTTAGACCAAAAGAAATCACGCGGATTAGATGATCTATTTTGTGAACAGTATTTGAGGTGCTCATTTCTGCTTGCGAAATCAGAGATGCCTGGGCTGGATACAAATTTACCAAAGTGTCCATTCCCGATTGAACCTCAACATAATTTCATTTTGGTCATCCCTAGTGCAGTGCAGTCTGATTGGCAGCGCCCAAATGACCTATTTGCCTATATGTGTGTGTGAAGGAAATCCGGTGTCTATTTACCCGCAACCAAAGCGCTCATCTCACGGCTAATCCTGTCCAAAGGGCTCTGAACCTTCTGGAACCTCAGCGGCACCACGATTCGAAGCTCCTTTGACCAAAGCCAAGGCAAAATCTCCCGTCTTAGTCTTGACTCCAATTATGTCAATAGCAAAGTGAGCAAGTCTCTGCTTCATCTGAAGCTGTTCTGAAGGCAAGACCAAAGCAGGTTCGTTTTCATTGTTTTGCGTACGGTCAAATGCTCGATGTGTAAAGAAAAATGAACACCTCGGAATTTCTGCACACAGCTGTATTGTCTATCCGTACATGTATACATGTGTGTATACCTAGATGAGCTCGTGTACATAGATATAAATGATATAAAGGATATCTGTGCTCACCCTGTCGGTCGGTCCCTGTCAGCTTATTGCAAACACACAATAACCCAAACTCCTGGGCTGTCAGGTTCTTTTTGTACATCAACCTGGTAGTAGAAACCGCAACTATCAGAGACGTTCCTGGCAAATCCTGGTAAATCCAGAGAGGTGATGCCATCGTTTCGGTGCCCACCTCCTTTCAGGTTCGTTTCGGTGACCAAGAGACGGTTCGGCACCGGGCTGCTCTTTCACCGCGGTCCCACCCCTCACATTCTTGGCCTGGCGGACAAGCGTCGCGTCGTTCGACTCCGACGCTCCCCGGCGGCGTCGCGGCGTCCCGGCGGCGTCGCGGCGTCCCGGCCCGACGGTTTCAGGGTGCGACTTGGGGGGACCAGAGGACAAACATCCGGGACGGTTGGGGAGGGGTTATGGCAGGGCATTGCGGCATAACCCCTCTGATGTTCACATGTTCGCGACCCTGAGAAAAGTTGTACAACAAATACGCGCAAGGCGTCCAAAGCGAACGCCTGGGGAATATACATGAACTCTTTGGGTAGCGTGGTCTTTGATCTTGGCTCAATTCTGACCCACCACCATTGTGCGCGCTGAAAAGACTCGACGTGGCTTCCAAACCACAGGACGAACGAAAAATATTGGTTTCTCATGGTTTCTCTTTACTGAGCTATCCCAAGCCTCAAAGTGAGATTTCGGACATTGCTCGATGAGCGTTGAGTTGAACTGAGTTGTGATCGCAAAATCTCGCGCTGCTCTGTGATGCGTGCCTTTTCGGCCCTCGAAATAGGATGATATGTCATGTACTTCACGTGCCGCGCATCGTACTGTAGTAGCTTGTTTTCTGACTCCGGTCGTGGAAAGAGGCCACGAATCACGATGCCACGCGTGTTCCCGCCTGCATTTGGCCTGGCTTCGACTTACTGGGCTCCAGATCGAACCTCAAACCGCCGAAGGGAAGAATCGGCGTGACTGGCTCGTTGCTTGGGGGGGGTCCTCAAGGTGGAAGAGGAACCCAAAAATACATGCGATCGACATCAAGATCATGAACACATATATATATATATACATTACACTCTCCTCCTAGTGCCAGTGATCTTCTATAGAATACAGTTAAAGTAACATTGTGGTACCTGGAACCCATTTGACCTCTGTTTTGATAGGAAAAGACCATGTTTTGGGTGTCCAAAATAGAGGTCATTCAGGTTCTAGGTATACTTTTACATCCATTTACACCCTATGACCTATGATTCCTATGATGGACGATCAGGGATGTTCTGTAGAACTGGGGGGGGCCACATCCAAACCCGCATAAATCCATCCTCGGCACTGGAGCACGTCACCCGTGGCTGGCTGATTCCCATCGACACAGTCCTGACCAGTTGGTCATATGACTGGGGCAGGTCGTGACGCGGCGGGCCGTCCGGCGACGACATCGCGGGCCCAAGCCATCCATTGAGTGATCGCCTCTTTTTGGGAGGTGAAGGGGATTTAAGGGAGGTTTGTACGGTTTGTGTAGAGCACCCCGAGGGTGGGTCCTGGCAGGGAAGGTGTTCGTCTTTCTGCGGCTGCGGAGAAAACGGCTACATCTTGCCAGAAAAAGGAGACTTCACCCTGATGCAACGTGTCCTTGATGTGAATGAAGACATCGACGCCTGTTCCACCTGAGCGAATGCGTTCTCGTGGCCTTCAGTCGTTTCTCGTGGCCTTCAGTCGTCTTTTACTACACCAACCCTCTCATCTTGAATCAGTTGCAAAGCTGTGGGGGACACATCTGTCCATCACAACGAGTCCTTCCTCATCCTTCTCTCTGGCTTCAGCGAATCCGAGCGACATGACCCCAAAAAATTAAGTAAAAAGCGGCAGCCAAGGGGCAATCGATGAAGCCAAAGCCTTTCGCGCCATTAAAGGACTTCACCCGCCCTGTGGCACTCATGACACCTCGGCGTTCATTGGTTTGGCCGCGCGACACGGTATACGCAGCGGCGGAGCTGCGAACAGTCCCTTGGTTCACCGCGGTTTGGCTGCTCTTGGAGAGCTTCAAAAGTTGAATGAAATCAGGAAAGAACATACAAAATCAAAGAATGTAGACTGTTGATGATGAATCAAACCTTCCCCTAGTGGAATGATTTTATACATCTCCAGTCCTTGGCAGTGTTTTTCATTATGTATCAGTCTACATTAGTTCTATCCTATTACCAGTAACAGTGGATGATGGTTCAGTTGCAGGCCTTTCGATCTCTTCAAGTATAGTGATGGTCTTCTAATTTACTGACTGTTACAGGTAAGTTCGGACAGTTCATTCCTGGGTTTTTGCCGTGTTATTCACATTCTGAAGCACTTCAAACTTCAAACCATGGACGACAGCGAAACCTCCACCCTCACAGTCTCTTCTCTGTCCTCACGTCGGGCACCCCGGCGGGTGGAGCGGGCGAGGGCATCGACCAACCGGTGAAACCCGGTGAACTCCCCAAAACGGACAAGCGCTCGCCCGGCTGAGCCGGAAAGGAGCCAAGAAGGAGCGAGGAATGTGTTACGTTCGTAGCTTCTTGCTACTAGTAGCGATGGCCTCCGACCTAATAGCGATGGCCTCCACCTAGTTGCAAGAAGCCGCTAGTAGCCAAAAAAGAAAGCACCGTTTTCTGGGTGTTTCATCATGAGCTTTCGAGTTTTACACAGGATATGGGTGATCTTGTTCGAAGCATGGAAGGTACTGTAGAGTGGATGATCTTGTCAAGATGAAGGGCAGAGAAACACGTTGATTCTACTCAGGTTCATTGACAGCCTCAATTCAGATGGACGTCCATGACCTCAGCGTCTTCAAGCTGTGAAACTCATGGACGAGCTTCATGGACAACTGAATTTGGGCGTGCATTTGATTAGGGAGACCTCCCAGGCAACGACCTCGAAGAAGGACAAACAGGATCAAATAGGCCCATAGGGCCAGGGCGGTCTCCCTATTTAAATACACACCCCATCTATTGCGCGTTCCGTGCAGGACGTGAATGGACGTTCCGTGACAATCTGCGCCCAGCCTTGCTTGCCAGGGAGGGAGTTTCTGCGCCTGTCACGTATGGAGCAAATATCTCGTGCCCACATCCAGCAGAACATGTGTGTCCCAGAATAGGATAGAGGGTTCCAGGGCCTATATGTTAGGTGCTGGGTTAATGTGTTTTTGCCTAACGCTTGTTCCCTTCTGTTAATGTTTTGTCCCAGGTGGTTTCTTTTCGTTGTTAAAACTGTATCTCTCAAATTGTCTTCAGAGAAGCTCGACATGTGAATTCTATTTGTTTACATTCTCCGACAAGTCATGTGCTCTCTGTCTCTCGATGATTTATCTATTGACGCAGTTCTTGAGAGAGTGAGGGAAAACGGGATGTTGCAATATCTCATTAAGAATTGCAGATTACAGTCATCGCGAGCCTCGTTTAGGAGCGAGATGGCAATAGTACTTAGCCTTCCTTCACAAGAATGATATTGCAGCAATCGTTGCAGTCTTGCTTCCGCGCAATTAATTATGTGTGCTCTTTCATTCGTCTCATTATCTTGTCATTTATGTCCATCGTCTTTGTCACAAAGACATCCATACAATCCTCACCTCCGTCAAGGAACGGTTCTGATGACTCGTCCATTGAATTGACAACAATGAGTGTAAAGCCACAGGGTCTATGCTTCCAGTTCGTGTTATCAAACACTCAAAGTCGGCATAAAACACGAACAGGGGTGTCAGTTGATTATATATATATAGTTCTTTTTGAACTCGATGATGTACCTTTCAGGATAGCCAGTGTCAAACTGTGGCATACTGATGTGTTGCCCTTGTACTGCCATACATTCTTTGTCAATCTTTGTCATTGTTCCTGAAAAAAAGAAACTGCTTGAAAGCCATGTCCCAAGGACGACGAGGATGCAAGGTAGCCCCGTTGTTGATTTAGCGTGCTATCAGTATGTTCTGGTCCTTGATATATACACAGTGAAATGTATCTCCATCTTCCAGTTGAGAGGTCAATGTTGCAAGTTGCTTTTGCCACTGTGCTTCGTATGTAGAATAGGGTTGATTCTCTGTGATCTGCAAGCTCAAGGAATCGTCAAATTGCCATGAATTAATGTTTTGCCGTGCTTGTTTCCTGCAACTTATTTAGGTCAATGTCCGACAAGAGAAAGTTCATGTTCTCCCAGTTGAGTGTATGTTCAATTTCTTATATGTATACATATATATATATTATTGTCATTGCATTCTGTTTTGATTGTCTTATCTCACATCACATTTAGGAACATCACACTGATCTGAATACATAAATATGCGCTGTCATCCTTTTGAATCTAATACGTTTAGTTGCTTGGATCCTTTGCAGGCATGGGTTGGTAACGTTGATAACGTGTATGAAAACACCACGGTTTGGATTACATGTGTACAACTGAATATGGTTTCATCAGTTTGAATTCTGACCTCTCTGCTCTCCTTCAATGGTTACGTCAATAGCAGCCCACTCCAGATGTGTAGCGGGAACAAGTTTGCATATATTTTGCGGACTTGGGCATTGGGCGTGCCCAGCTGTAGGGTACGGAGTGGGTGGCTCAGTAAAGCGTGACAGCCAAAGCATCTCAACTTCGAAATGTACAGATTGCATATTGCATGTGTGCGGCACTTGAGGTCTTGCGAAGTCTTTGCATGTGGAATGTGAAGTATTGAAAGAGATATCGTTTCAAAAGTCAACCAACGGTTTGGCGCCAATGTTCTTGGTAAGAACTTGAGTTGCAGTTGCAGTAAGGTGTGCCTAATGCTGCCTCATGCTGCCTCAAGCCCAGCAGAGAATGGGTTCATTCGAGGAACTCAGGGGAGCATGACTTCAGTGCAGTACCACAAAGCGCAGAACGCTCACCTTGCCGATCCTGTCTGAAACCCTGGGCCTGCAAAAGAACATGGGCTTGATGTGCTTGATGGGAAAGCCGGTCCTCTACGCCCATGCGACGAAAGCAGGCTCAGAAAAACGGAAAAAAAGACACTGACCTTGACGAAGTGATTGGGCAAAACAATAGGCAGTAGGCGAAGAACTGTCTGTTGAAACATCGAAATATCCTCAACAGAGACAGCTATGTGCTGTGAAGTTTCCAGGTGTTGGACCTGGGTGTTCACCATGTGCCCATGCCTTCTTGCGGGCATCCACGAGCTCCCTCTTGGCTCCGTCTGTGCTTGGAGGTCCATTGAAGGAGAAGTGGAAGACCAAGCTGACAAGGATGTCAGTGATGTCACATGCAAAATGCATGGTTGCTACCCATGCAGCTCCTCAACCCACTCTTGTGTGGCAGCTCCCTACCTACGAGGCTGCGACAGAGAAGTTTTATGGCCTGTCAGACTTGGAGAGAGAAAGCATGGCCTGGCACCGTTGGAAGCAGGTCTGAACAAATACGGGTTGGCGCGAGTGGTGGGTGTAATGATCAAGCATCGACACTGAAAAACATGCCTTATTTTGGGCAGGTGCTTCCAGAGAGCCACATTCCCCACATACAAAAGAATCAGTGATGCGTCCTCAGCTGGCATCGCTTCCCATGATCCCCTTCTCTTTCTCTTTAGTGGACGATCAGTGGATGCCTTCCGAGCTTGTTGAGGAGGGGCGCAAGTCTGCTGCCGCTTTTGTTTGGAGAAGGTGAGGGGCCCTGCATTCTCGGACGAGCATCATAGGTCTAAGAAGTGCATTCGGCGTCGAGGAGGTTGGATTCCATGGGACAAACGAGTGAGCTGCGCGGTCAAACGCCTGGGATCTACAAGCGAATGACCTGGCCGCCAATCCGTCCTTACACCACCGAACTCTACAAGAACCCTGCCAATGACCGCAGTGATTGCCGTCAAGGTGGGTGGACCTTCACGCCCAAAGTCGCGTCAGAAGAAGGTTGGTGGTGCGCTATTCACGGATGTGGGAGCCTCTGCGACCAACTGAGGAAGTCCTTGCGTGGAGCATCGCCAGAGGCGGTCACTGTGGTCGTGAAGATCCAACGCAGTGCGCTGAAGATGTGACTGGGCCATCATGTTTTTTTTGTGCGCGGGTGTAACCTTGCCACATTCTTAGAGGTCGCATGTCAAGAAAAGGTGGCAACCCTGATGAGACTCAGACTATGTTTTTTACAAGGCAAGATGTGAAAATGAGAGGGATTCAGTGTTTCTCGTGTTGATTCCTCCAAAGCGACACTAGAGGCGATGAAAATGTCTTATTGCTGCACTCACGCAGATCCGTGTTCCAGGCGAGCTCCCAGGTTGATGTGGCTTTGTCTTCATTGTCTTCTGGAAGGGTTTGCCGACCAGTGTCGATCAATGCTTGGAACAGGAATGTTTGGACGGCATGGCTTTTCAAAACAGTCTCTGGAGTTTGCCCAAAATTGAAACAATCGTTTTGCACTGCAGTCTACCCAGTTCCTAACTGGTCGATGATCTTTCGTTTGCCGATTTCAGCCAGCACTCAGAACGAGGACTTGGCGTTCACAGGCGTCACGCATAGGCATCCAGGATGTTGGCACCCACACAACTTGATCACCCGCGCAGGCAAGTCGACACACCTACACTGACCTACACCAGAGATAATCACAAATTGTCATTCTGACCTAACAGAAGAGATGAATTGGAGTCTTTATGATCTTTATGGCAAATTGTTTAAAGCAAAGCCAGTCACTTGAAAAAGGAACAAAAAGGAAGGCGATACAAGGATCAAAACGACAAACGAGATAATAAATTGCTACAACTTCATCAAGCGAAGGTAGACCGTTCGATGCCAAAACCACGGCAAAATTCAACAAAGATCCAAACGCATGTAAAGCTGTTCATGTGCAACTGGAGGTTCTACTCTGCGCTCAGACCCAGAGCTTCACAAGAAATATGGTGTCTTGATGGAACTTGTGGCAGCAAACTCTTGTGTCCGGATTCCGGACGCACGTCGAAAACAGCATGTACAAGGTGTCAAAGCACTACACAACCAAACTACGAAGGACAAAACTATCTCAATAGGAGGTATGACCTTTATCGATCATGTTGCTGAAGTCCCCAGGTCCTAAAAGTACTTAGAGAGATGTGAATTTGGACGAGAACAAGTGGCATACAAAATGCGTTGTGGCAACCATCACTGACGAACAATCTCATTTCAAGATTTGTGTCAATTCATAGTCTACAAGCAACATCAGGGCTAGAGGCATCAAAGCACTAGAGCATAATGTAAATCTCAAGTACCAAGATCAAAGTCTGGTAAAATACCTTCACATGCACAATGAAATGAATATATATAGTGTTCAACCATTCGGAATAGTCAAGAGCAAGAAAGTCAATTAAGAATTCAATGAAGGCAGAAGACATGAATTGACCAGCGCAGAGGAATTGAGTAGTAAGGGCGTCTCAAATGGCATACATTATTTCAGATGAACAAAATGATATCATGATAGCCGGATGCTGTCAATACGCCACACAAAACGATTTATAATTCTTGTCAGCGATGCCAAAGAAGTTTGTGTTTGTGTGTCATTTGGCAAAACTTTGAATCCAACAATGGTGCAAACCATCGAGCATGGTTCAGGGATCTGGAACCCCATGATTCTAACCCCATAGTTCATGGCAAAGTCTTCTGGATCTTCCGCTTTTTCAGGAGAGTTCACAAACCCAGCATCAACATACATACCCTTTTCACCCCTCCTTCGATCAGAACTGGTGAAAGGCACTCGAAATCGCACCTCCTTCACCTCCTTCGAAATCGCAGCGCAAATGCGGACGCTCAACAGGCACAAATCCTCGAGGACCTGGATGCGGAGAGCATGTGGCGACAGCTTCGGGTGGGAGGACCAGCGAGACAGACCGAGCTTTGGGAGTTTGGTTCACGACTTCAAATTGAAAAAAAAAATGAAATGGAAGGGAAGAAAGCTTAATTATAAGTTTAAAACGAAAAAAAATATGGAATGAAAGGGGAATGTGACTTCCTTCCACTTCTTTGCCCCCCCCCATACAACATGCCGGTCTCTACTCTCCGGTTTCTGCGGTTTCACCGCCAAATGGCCGTCTCACACCGCTGATGTCGATCAGCGACCGGTGTTATACGACCGGCCGGTGAGAACTCCTCATGGCCCTCGACGTTGGATACGTAGGGTTCGAGGGTTTTTGGTGGGATTGACTTGGTTGATGTCCATAAGTTCACTTCGCTGTTCCTCGCGAGCTGTGTTCACTTCTTTCTTGGCCATGCCCCACAAACCCCAAAAAGTCCCACCAACTCCTCAGCTCTGGACCACTGACGGGGAGAAATTCTTCAGCATGTGCCAAAAGCAGCTGAGTTCCGGTTTCTCCGGATGGCGTGGATCCTGCGGTGACGCACCGGTGGACATCCGATGTCGGTCGGTTTTTTGAGATTCAATCGGTAGAAGCGGTATGTTCAGGTGTTGGTTTTAATACCAAAATGGCATGCCCTACATGCATCTCAATACACCTGAATGAATTCAAATGGAGCTGACGTGTTCGAGGAGTCAGCACGCTGTGCAAAACACACTCAACTACGCTGAAAAGAAAAACCGTAAGTCTACAAAAAAGCAACTGGTCTGACACTGGGGCGAACAAGTTCTTGTCGAAGCTCCATTCACTTTTTCACTGCTGTGACTGTGATAAGAGCAAGACTTGGAAATAACTATATAGAAGGCTTTGGGTGAGAATGTGTGACAACTAGTGGGATAGCATGGCTCATTTTGTGAACCTGACAGCGTTCCTGGCCACGTGCATATGCACATGCAGAGTTGAATGGAGTACACTAGTGCTAGAATCCACGTTTTTTGAGGCTGCATAGTTGCTGCTTCAATGCTTCAAACAAGTTTGCGGCTGGAACCAGTAGTCAGTTTAATACACCAATTCGTGAACTGATATATACACCGGTGGAAAACCGTTTTTCACAAATCAGAAAATGCATCAACCAACAAAAGGCGGTCCCCCACAGCCTCAGGCACTCCGGACAACGAACTCGGGTGGGGGGCGGTGAAGACTGCCGAGATGGGAACGACGGTGATCCGGCGATCGGACGGGGGAACGACCAACCCCTGTCCCGCATGGCTCAAAAAGCCCACCAAACCGGAAAACTGCCGAATTAGGTATTCAGTTTGAGGCGTTTTAGGGCGTGCCTTCCGTTGAGTCGGACGAATCTCTCAGCTGTTTGATCAAACGTGGATCAGAGATGATCAGAGGCATTTGGGTCAATAAGGACACTACCAAGAAACCAAGAGATCTTTGCTTCCTGAGAGCAGGCAAGCAGCATATAGTATAATGTCAACCATATGGTTACATAAATCGTTCATATGGCAAGGCCAGGTTCCTTGATTAAAAAAATAGTCGAAAAAAATCCAAAACAAAGTCCAATGAAAATGTCAAAGTCAAAACAAAATCAAACTGAATAGTCGAAAACAAAAAGAAGTCAAAACAAAATGTAAAAAATGTCAAAAATCGATCACAACTCTATATAAAAATTCAAAAACGAGCCATACAGTCAAAAAGTCAAAAAAAGATGTCGAAAAATGTCAAAATTATAAAACAACTCCGAAAAAGTGCTTTAAACAATAATGATAATAATAACAATAACAATGATAAATAAACAATAGAATAAAAATCATAGTAGAGAATAAATAAAAGAAAATGATAATGATAACAATAACAATAACAATATATAAATTAAGGCATTTAAAACATAAAATAACAATAATAATGAACAAGGTCAAAAAGGCACAATTAGCAAAACAAAAGCTGAAAAGAAATGGTCGGATCTGGTCCAATTGATTTTTTTGACTTTCTGAAACTTTCTGATTTGACCTTTTTTTGACTTTGACTTTTGGCACCGACTACTATGTTGACATTTTGTTGACGTGTTTTAAATCTTGAAAACAGGCTCTCTCCAATGAAATAACTATTTAACCATATGGGAGCGTATATTATTTGATGATATTTGACGTTCCTGGGCCGGGATATTTCCCTATAAGGCATGCTTCGGAAGTATGCTTCGGGGTATCTTACACGCAGTGTGAAGACGGAATGCATTTCAGAGGGTATGCTTCGGGTATGCTTCGCTCAAGTCGAACATCCCAACTCTACATTGTACAATATACTGGACACGTTTAAACAAAATACAAGCCAATGTGTATGAGATCGTATGAGTATGCTGGTTAAAGACCCTATCAAACCCTGCAATTCACATCAAAGACTAGCTAGCTTGCTGTCATTCGCGTTCACCCCCCAACCCACAAATCCCACCATCAACTGGTTGCACCGGGAAAAAAACCTAACCAACCTTGCAGGGAGCAGCCCCTGCTCGATTTCGGTCCAGCAGATTGAAGAGCATGGTCATGTCCTCCATCGAACAAGAAAACACCGCGTGGAAACCAAACGGGCGCCAACGGGATGGGAGAATGGATTCGATCGTGATGTGCGAACACCAGATGTCTGCAGAGTCGTGGAGCCGGCTTCTAGCATCCTCTTCTATCCTACTAGCAGCAGTATGCAGCTTGCTTGGCCCAACACTTGGACTATCTTCGTACTGTTCCTACTTGCACTTACACATGTGTCTAGGAACCACAGTTTCATTTTGCGAATATAATCTACATAAGAAACAATTGCAAAATGCAGACTTGAACCAACCCTGCAAGGCTTGGCTTCACAAGTCTGTGTCAATCGCACATCCGAAACAAGACATGGAACAAGAATTGAATCACACAAATGCTTAATGATAGCTTGGAACTAAGTGTGGAAAACTCTGCAACTGCCTTTTAAAAAGTAAAAACCTGCTCCAGACATCGTGCACCATGGCTCTTCTCCAAGAATACCCAAAGCAATCCACACCCGGAAGCTGCACGGAGACCCACTTTCGGCGGCCTGGTCGGTGAGTTGCAGCTCGTCAAACATCCTGTTGGTGAGTTGTGGCGGCGGCCGTGGCCCGTGGCACGACCCGTGTGCCGTGCGGGCTGTGCCGTTCGGCGGAAACGGGTGGAGACGGATTTGTAGAGATGGATTCGTAGGGATTCCAAGTGGATCACCTACACGCACGATACTTAGTCGCCAGTAGAAAGAAGAGCTTCCAATTCAGCCGATGGTGAGTGCTTCGATGTGAGTTGAAGATTCAGTGAAGATCATGAAAAGGATGAGGGGCGTCGCCCACCTCTATACTCAGCCCAATCCTTAGCTTCCGATCCGGCGAAAGCTGGACCCGACTGCCGAGTCTCCTTTGATAATCGTCCGGCACGCGGCTGCGACGGCGTGTGGGCTGCTCCTTGTGCCTTGGGCGTCATGAGTGACACTTCTTCCACAGCTGCAAACTCACGCAAACCCGGCTTTTTGAGGGAAGCAAAACATGTTCAAATCAGCCTACGCACACAGCCTACGTAGACATGCATCAGGATCAAAAAAGAAAAAGACAAACTTATCTAAAGAACACCTATCTCGTTCGGAGTTCTCCTGACGAAGTGGCCAGCCCTTCAAGCTGTCTGCCCATGTCTGCTGCAAAAAAAACTGGGTGCCCCGGGCTGAAGAAATCCATTGAGAATTCGTTGAGTCAAATGCTCCAGACTCACCTGGATCAGAATCATCTGAACTCCGAAACTGTCGTGAGAGAATCTGGCTCTTCATGGGAACCAGTTTCCTGGTCTGATCCTGTTGATCCAAACTCAGGTCAGATTGATTTCCATGTCTCCGACCATGACTGATGTTTAAAAAGCTGGATGCAGTAGGTTGCATCCTGAATCTGACCGCGATCTTTTTGGCAGCTCCTACAAGGAAAAAGGCACCGCGAACGGTCCTTCCTGTCCCTTCTCATACCTATGTGTCACGGTCCACGGAACGAAGAAAGCCGAGACGTAGAAGGCCGATGTTCTTTGGTACAGACAAGGTACGCCTAAGCAAAAGCCCATGGAAATACCTGGGACGTAACTTCCGGAGCCGAAACATCCAAGTAGTCCGTGTTCTTGATATTCTTGGCCCTCTCATTTGCCCATGTCTCATGGAAGCTGGAGTGTGTCCGGCGATGAAGATGAGGGCAGGCCTCTCCAAGCTGCTTCCTCTGTCCCCCAAACTTGCGAACCTATCCCAAGAACAACACCTGGCAGCCTGGCATAAAATCATAGGTGTATATACACGATACACCCCTTGAAAATCCCAACCCAAATGGCCCTTGTTCTCTCCGCACCAGGAGTGGTGCGACCACTCTCTCTCCGCCTGCCGGTTCACCGAGCGGATCCGCCCCAGCATCTTGCTGTAGTGGCAGCGCAGCTTCTTCCTGGCGACGCCGGCAGCGACCTAAAAGGTCGGTATCTTACGAAGGAACTGTCAAGGGCAAGGAGAAGACAGTAAGAACACACAAACCATGTCAAGAGCAAGGAACCTTCAAGGAGAAGATTGAGGTTATATAACTGCCCAAGGGCTGAACACACATGGCTGCCATGTGAACACAAAGCCAAACATCGACCAGGTCACATTGATGCAAAACTATTGTGAATTGCAAAGTCGCGAAGCACCTTCCAATTTGAACCCTCCGGTCCTAATGTGTTCCAATCGCAACGACGGACGAACCAGCTCCACGATGTAGCAGAACTTGGTCCTGAAATCACTTCGGCTTGGATTTCACCTACGGAGGCTTCTTCAAGAGAATCGTTGAGTTGAACCCTTCAAAGAATTCTTGTGATCCTGTGATTGAATTCCCTCCAAGCATGTGAAACATCATCCTCACAAGAACTCTGTGTGGCTCATCTGTGTGAACATTGCCTGCCTTGTCATCTTTTCTTTCCCATCGAAGTCGCAAAGGTGAAAGAACCTGCCGAAAAAAATCCACACAAGGAACCCCTTTGGGTGACCGGTTCTTCGTGGCTGCACGCGTGACGCCAATGGCGGCTTCCGCTACCAAGCCTGTGAAAAGACCAACAACCCACCCCCAAAAGGTGCGCGATCTTCGGCCAGTTGGGGGTCACCCAGAACGTCCAACCACTCATTTTCTCCGACCGGGTAGTGATGATCCACCACTTGCTTCGGGGGGTAAAATGAGTCATTTGGGTTTCCAGGATAAATGCAAGTGGTGCAGTGTGCTTAATGTGTTTCTCAAACGGAAAACCTAGAAGCCGAAACTCCGAAAGCTCCTGGCAAAGCTTGGCAATTCCCTGTCTTCAGACTGTCCTTCCATGCTCCTGGGTTCTGCTTTACAAGAAAGGACCCTTTTGGACCTGTCGTTTCCTCCAGCTAGTCATCTTATGATGCCTTTCAACCTTTCTCTCTCAAAAGCAGGGGGGTTGGGGAAGACTAAAGTGAACCCCCACATGACCTGCGCCGGTCTTCCTTTCTGACCCCCAAATTCCCTCCGTCAGCACGCTTGACACTGGAAACAGCGTCACGACGTGCCCCGGAGCCGGCCGCCTTTTTGCCTCGTTGGAGCGCATGTTCCACATCTCGCCGGCCTGGCAGCTTCCGGGCGGGAACCGGGCTCAAAGGGAGCGAACCAAACAAAAATCCCCTCAGTCAACAGGTTGGTCGTGCACCTCGAAACCCCCAAGCTACCTCACCATCACCAGCCGTGGTATATCATTCATCGGAACCCATCCGCCTTCACCACAAATTTGTTCAGGTCCAACGGCGCCTGACGACGCATGGGCTGCGACAAATTTTCTGTGGACACCCGAGACACTACAGCCTTGGCTGGGATGAGTTGTTTTCAAACTTGTGAAGAATTCAATAGCAATACTGTATATATTTCCTCTTTTTCCACATACGATGTCTTTTCCCCAAACAGTCTACTGCTGTGGTTCTCTCTTAAGAAAAAGAAGCTGGAAAAAAGAAACTGGCCCCAGTCTCTGGCCCCGCCCGTGAACGCTGTGTCCGGTCCTCTTCTTGTCCGCCTGTTGTCCTCTTCTTGTCTGCCAAATGTTTTCTTCTTGTCCTTCTTCTGGTGTGCTGCATGGCCGCGGCTGCCAGCCGGTCTCGTCCTCTTTTTTGATCTCTGTTCGTCCTCTTGTTTTCTTCTTGTTGTCGCGTTGTCCTCCTCTTGTCCTCATGTTGTCCTCTTGTTCTTCTTCTGTGTGTCCACCCTGGCCGCCTGTCAGCATGTAAACATGACAACACGTGAGCGTGCACTACAAAGCAGCGAGGCACTAGCAAGACAACTCCAGAAAGAAACCCCAGAAGCCAATGTCCTCTCCCTGTCCTCCTGCTGTCCTCTTCTTGCGGGGTTCTAAAAGCAGCTGGCGACCGTGTCAGGCCGCGCCGGCGAGCCCTGTCCGGACGTCCTCCTCTTCTTCTCTTGTTCCAATCTTTTCGGCCCTGTCCTCCTCATGTTCTTCTAATGCCCTCTTGTTGACCTTCTTCAGGTGTTCTTGGCCGCGTCTGCCAGTCTATCTCCAGTTGTGCTCCTCCCGTCGTCGTCTTGTCTTTCTCTTGTTCTCTTCTCCTCTTGCTCTCCCTTGGCATGATCCCCTCATGTTGTCCTGTTGTCCTTTTGGGTTTGTCTGGTCACGGCTTGTCCTTCTTTTGTCCTCTTGGTGTGTTCGTGTTGTTTTCCTTCCCCTATCATTTTGTCCTCTGTTGTCCTCCTCATGTCCTCCTCTGGTCTTTCTGTTGTCCTGCTGCTGTCGTGCTGTTTACACTGCTTTCCGAGACAGGGGCTAGGGCTGCAGCCGCCCACCACCACAAGAACTGCCGACTAGGCTGCTTGGGGTGTATGCTGGTATAGTTCGGTATAATCTTTAGCTTTGTCTATGCTCATGTTATCAATCATGTTATCAAAAACCAGAAGTACGATGTTGTAGTCATATTTACCCACTTTAAAACAGTGTATAGCAGCTTGTAGCTTGTTGAAACTCCAGAATTTGCTTTACAAATCTGCAGTTAGAAAAATTTAAAAGGCGATGAGTGACATGTAACAATAACAGTTTATACTTTTAAATGCCAAAAAAGGATAAACACTATTTTATGTGTGTAAGTGATGTTTCAAGTGTTGTGCTAGAGCACCGAGTCACTGGCACTACAGCTAGCTCGAGCTGTTAATTGAAGACCATCCGTGATCCAGGAGTACAGACCCGTCTTAGATAGATCGAAGTGGGTCAACGCGACCTCATGAAGCTGAGGGTGTCGAGAAAGAAAAAGATGACGACGACGACGACGAACGACGAGGAGGAGGAGGAGGAGGAGGATAAGAATGATAGTTGGACATTTGAAGTTGGTAGCCCTTCTAGACGGAGAACCCTTCGCAGGTGCTTTCGGGAATCAGAACAGAAACCAAAATGTATTAATGTACTTTACTTATGCGTGTATTGCAAAAAGTAGAAATACGTAGGTTAAGATTCAAATTTCAGTACAAGAGCTGTGTTTAAAAAATGTCACTTTTAACAAACAAAATATATATATATATATATTAGATTATATAATATATAATAGATGTTTAGTTTTTTGCGCGGAAACTTTCAGAAGGTTTACAGTGTTTGAATGCCGAAAGCCTAAAGTGGTCCATGGTCACCCCCAACCATCATGGAGAACGCACTCCTCCTCTGCAGTTCAGTCCATGTTCGCTCTGCCCGCGCAGAACCAAACGGACGCCCCACGCGCTGATCGCGTATACAAAAAAATAAACAGGGGGCGCAGGGGCGCAAAAAAAAGAGAAGCTTCGTCACGGCCTTGAAGTCACCTTCAAGAGCATCATAGGCTTTGTCCATGGTTTGAAATGCCCTGGGGTCGCGTTGGGGCTCAGCCGATTCTCGCGGGGGAAGCTGCAGGACCGGACGCCACCCACGTAGGAAGAGTGTCCTCTGGGAGTCACGTTCCATGGAAGTGGAGAACCGCCTGTTTGTAGAGGAAATTGCTCATCCTTTCAGGGGTCCATGCCATCGTTGTTCCAAAGGGAGTTTCGAGGCCCTGGGTGTCAGAGCGTCCAAATCCTGCTACTCCAGGTGTTGGAGTCAGGGTGAAACGAAGTTGCTGCAGTCCCCTTCCCAGATACGGTGGCCTGTAGAGAAATCACCAAGCCCTTTCTCCACTGGGTCCTTCAGTTCCAGCCGCACTCCGTTTCTTGTAGCTCCAAGTCATTGACTGAGAAACCGACCACCAAACTCCCTCGACTCCCAAATTCCCTCGACTCCCTTGTACAGGGATGGATGATGTCGAACTCATCAGCCGAGGAAGCCACACTCCCCCAAGGCCCCCGGGCTGCTCTAAGCGGTGCTGCCAATCTTCGATGAGAAGCACCGGAGAGACCTGGCCAAGCGGGAGGCCTTCTCAGGGAAAGCATCTCCAACCAGCAGTAGTATTCACCTGCAAAAGGACCACCTGGCAACCACTCAATGAGTACCTGAGGTATCGGCATAGGTCGTGAAAACGGTGTTCCAAAGGTCTCAAGATATCGTCTTTCCTGAAGCACCAAGCAAGGCCTAAGCAAGGTATGCTAGTGCCAAAAAAAGAAGGCATCTCAGAGGTTCTTGCTATTGGACGAGGAACCCCAATTTTGAAAGGCAAATCCCGGGAGTCTACAAACATTTTGTTGCGGGGCCAGTGGAAGCCAGCGGCGACCAACTCCTATGTGGTACAATATGCTCTTCAGCGCATGCAGCTGTACTTTTGCCGTTGTGTGGCTGTCTTACGCTGGCTGTCTCATACTTACAGTATCCATCTAGCTATAAGTCAAACCCTAAAAACCTTGGTTGACACCACCGGCGCTCCCGGTTTTGACCCATCCTCATTTCACCGACCAAAAACACCTCGGATGCATCTGATTCAAGTTGATCTCTCCTCCAGCAATCAATCTTCCCTTGGATGCAGGACCTAGCTATGCCTAGCTGCTTTGGGTTCCCGGACAGAGGCCAAAGCCGCATGCATCTCGGCCAAGGAGATCTGGCGGCGTCGAGCGTGCCGTGGCAGCTACCGCGAGCGGTAGAGGGCGCTCGCGCACCAGTCGGTGGGATCATGCCCCATCTTCGGGACAAGATATCAGTAAAGGACAAAATCTATGGTATCTATTGGGGAGAACTTCTGAATCCTCAGTAGGACCTCCTTGGCGGTGGGGAGGAGGCCCTGCATCGGTTATGCGTTCTGTTGGTCATCGGCCCATTTTGGGGTCAACGAAATCAACAAACCCCTTCCAACCCAACAAAGAAGTTCCCCTGCTGAGATTGGTTGTGGCTGACATGTCATGCCAAATCGAGGAAACAAATCTGCCTCCCAAATAGCAGTTAAGGTATTGAGCAAGAATATTTGCGAGGGTGAATGAGTCAAGGGTTTCCCCGGCTTCTCAAAAAGCCTGCCTTGACACAAAAGCCTGCCTGTGTGCTGTCTTCAGCTTCTCAGCTTGTGGCTTTCACTAAGAGCTGGTTGCACGAGCCTTCTACGAACTGACTTAAGCCTTGTTCTCCTGCTTACCTAGCTGACTCTGGAGGACCTCTGCATACCAGCTTGAGGCCGCATGAGAGCGCTCTTCTACGCTCGCGAAGCTTGGTGGCGCACCGTCGAATGGAGGTTCGTGGTGGCGATGGCCGTGAAGAGGAAGACATGCTCTTCCCAGTCCCAAACGCCAACTTTGGTCCTTAGCACACTCACTCACCATGTGCTTTTTGGAAGCGCCGACGTGTGGGATGACAGTAAATGTGTAATGGTCGAATTCAATTGTCTGTGGTGCCCTGATTGGTTGGAAGTGATGTTGATGCACCACGAGATTGATCAACGTTTCCAGAACGAAGCAAATGCAGCATTGAAACCATCAACAAAAACAAGGAACTCCCAAAAAAAATCCTTGACTTCTAGCCTTATAGGCTGATTGTGGAAGTCACTAAGTAACCCTTCTGTGCGGTGCGGGTCCGCGGGTCCGTGTCATGTGGTCACCTCTCCTCATCACCGTCTCTGGATCGGTCGATGCTGGTGACCGTCTCAGGTGCAAACAGCATGATGGTGGGTGCAGAGTTGGGCATGATAACAGCATGATGTTATTTGATAACAGAGTTGGGCATCTTCTGCTTCCACCAGTTGAAGCAGAAATTATTGGACCTGATCCCTTCGAAGCTTTTGATGCAATAATGGTGTCTTGGAAAAGATCGAGCTGGTGGAATCCTGGCAAGAATCCTGGCAGACTTGCTCCCTTCAAAACACGTTTGCAGCAAACAAAAAGAACGTCATACAAACACTCGCTCCCCAACACAAATGCTTGCTTCCCCTTCTTCCCCGATCCCAACTGTGGCTTCCCCGCATGAGTTGTCCAAACTGCTGGCAAGTATATCGCTTGGAGGCCCAACTTGTGCGTGGCGCCTGACACGAAGAGGAAGCAAAACCTCTCAGGTTTGTCAGTCACCGCGGATGATGTCATCGCACCGAAGCTGCGATGCCGGGTTTCTCCGTGGTGAAAACCACCAAAAAGAAGAGTCGATCCAGAAATCCACCTTTTTGAAGCGGCATTTGGCTGCGAAACACACCTGACAGATACATAAGACACTGTTTTGAGACACGGTCTTGTGTCTTCGAGCCGACTCCAGCTGGTCAGATGGGCATTGGTGGAGGATTTTCCCAAGTCCTTCACCTCTCAAAGCAGTCGACCCCACCAGATCCGTCAACTTGGCCCAGGGAGCCAACCTGCTCAGCTACTTCTGGGTTAGACACCAACTTCTACCATGTTGTTCGATGTGTTGTTCAAAAAGAAATGCTTTGTCAAGAGGAACATCTGCTTCAGCTTCCCCACATAAGGCGGCCGCAGAACTCCCTCTCAGCCGCATGGCGCACCATGGTCTCCATGGCCCGACAGGGAGAGAAGCCCAGCGCAATCCATCTGGCGGGATCCATTCGTTCGGGACCCCAAAAGGCTCGAACGACAGGAACGACAGGAACGACAGGTGATGCTTCAGCACAAGAATCTCTGGGTCTCTGGGTCTGTTGAGAGCCTGTTGGGTTGACAAAGAAAACAGAAACATCGTTGACCTTCGACCTCCTGGAAGACTTTCTGGGCTCTGTTCAGGAGGTCGAAGTTGGACTGAGTCTGCTCATGTCTGAAAAAAGCTGGGTGAGTGAGTAGCCAAGATCAGCCTCAGGTGGCACAAGTGGCTGTGTTTGGGTGTGTAGTGTTTGATCGGAAGGACTTTTCAAAAACGAGCTTACCCTCCCTCCAAGAAAAAGGAAACATTGACCCATCCATCACTGTTTTGGGTCTTCGGAAGGTTCCTCTCAAGAGTTCCTCATTTGGACAATTCCTCCTCACTTCGGCGGTGGAAAACCCGCGTGGAAAACCGCTGGACCACTGCCGCCTGCACCGGAGATCGGCGAGGCAGCGGACCGGAGCCATGGCCTGCATCCGGGGGCACCCGCGAATGCCCCGCAGGGCGGGGCGAACTGAAAAAAAGACTGGTAGATATCTGGTAGACGAGAGTGCTGCACCCCTCTCTAAGTTGAGTAAGAAAACTAGTAGGCAAACTAGTTTAGGAAAGGCATCTACTACCCCGAAACTGGCAGGCCATGCTTGTTCAGCAAAGGGTACATGAACTGAACAGCCTGGTCGACACCTGTCCATGCAGCTCACAGGAAGTGGCGTGTGTATTGAACTAGGGGGACCCAGCCACCCTGCGTTTTGATTCCCAAGATCCTCAAATCAGGATCAGAAATCATCCACTGCGTGGCCATTGACAGAAGCTCGAAACCAAGGGCACAAGACACATTATGGAGATGCGTGTTCAAGGGTCCATGGACACCCCTTCAAGGCGTCCATGGTATCTGACCCTCTTGGGTATACCGGGTCTAGGTTATACCGGTATACCGCGTATAACCTTGGGTATACCCTCAGCCAAGCGATACTTCCTTGATCGCTACCTGACCCCTCCTCGACCACGGCGTAGAACTCGGTTAAGGAGACGGAGCCGCTCCTGAGAAGAGGGCGATGAGGCCGGACGGCCGGAGGGCGCGCCCCAAACCACCGGACATCGAACTGCTCTTTCACAGTCTCAAACACCAAAAAGGAGAGAAAGAAACACCGTGAAACACCTGAATCCGTCAGCCTTCAGCCTGGGTTTTTCGCGCTTCGCGCACGTGGCTGCTTCGCAGCTCTGAGGCCCCCAACCCATCAGTGTCAAAGAAGCTGAAGATCGTCTCATGCTCCTGGGTGGCTTTCTGTGTGGCATAGAGCAACCTGGTGAACCTTATCCAATGAATTTTTTTAGACTGGACCACCCTATCCACTGGAAGGAGAACCTCTTGTACCACCTGACCTGTTGGTCAGAAACCACGCTAGTCACTGGGACTTTTGGGAGCTTTCAGCTGCTACGGTGTCTTTCATTAGCTCATCGATCTGCAAGTGCAGAGTCGGATGGTTTCCCTGTGATCCAAAAGCAGATCCGCAGGAAAAAGACCCAGTTGCCCAAGCTGCCCAGCAGAGAAAACGCCTGGGTTTCTCTGGAAGGTGCCGTTCCCGTTCTCCAGTTGCCAACAAGGGTCTTCCATGGTCTTCCCAGTTCTATAGTTATATATATATATAGTATTGCAAATATGTCATGTTCACTGTTCACAGCATAAAATTGCAAACACATGTATGTTCCCATGCTTTTGCCATGAACCAATGCTGGGAATATCAGGTCGACGGCACCCTCTCCCCTCGCATCGTTTTCACGACACTGCGGAGGCATCAGACCTCCGTCAGAAGTCCCTCCGTAGCCGGACACAATCCGCAGTAAGAAGCGCTGACTTTGGTGAAAAGATGTTGTTTGATAATTACTAGCAAACATAAATTGATTATTCACCATTAAACAACTTTGAAACATATGTCTCGCATTCCTTTCTTTCACCAGCCAATGTCCTAAGTCACCCACTTCCCAGCCGCAAGCGCCCCGCTTAAAACGCAGCTCTGCTGGCTCCATCCCACACATGGCCACTTTCTGTGGCCGCAATATTGTGCAGTTGGGCAGATTGTCCGTGCTCCATCAAGCAGGTTTTGAAAAGAACCGACGGATTCGGCTTCATTGGCTTCCATCAGACCATCACCCATGGCGCTATCCAAAGCAGCGCAAAGAAGGCCGGGCACTCACTCGGGTCACTTCTACTGAGTTCCCTTCTCCAGCAAATCCATGGCCTCCTTTAAGGATTGAATCTCCTCCGCGCGCCGCGCTGCACGCTCCTGTGCCGTGGAGCCCGTCGCCAGGCAGCTGTCCTTCAGCTGCTCGTAGTACTCCAGGGCCGCGGTCAACCTGAAAGGGACGAATCGTCGGTTGGAAAGCATGGGATGAAGGTGGGTACCCTCCACTTCACTGAGGCCCATGGGTACGGAGCCCATGGAAGACGGTGTTCCGAAGACGGACAGGGTGGTGAACCCACTTCCAGTTCAATAGTGAGGCGGAGGGTCATCAGCTATCAACCACCATCTGGACGAGTCACTCTTTGTCTGCATTTTGCAGATCTGCCTTTTTGCCCACGATCAGCTGCTCCTTCTCTCCCTTCTGGATCTTCTTATGTTCCAAATCCTTTTCCTCACAGAAGACTGCGACGCAAGCTCGACGACAAAGATTACAAATAAGATGGAAGACGAAGTGGAGGTTCCATGCACGGAAAGCCATGAAATCCGTCGTGTAGCTGGACCCAATTCGATCAAACCCAAAGAACTGTTCATCGTTGCAAGTCAGCAAGGCTAGACACCAATTGATGTCCTTCCTGCACATCTCACCCGGTGTGCCTTCAAAGGGGAAACCTGCTAATCCATCCTTTTCTGCTTGTGCATCCTTTGGTTGGAAGTCTTCTGTGGCCCTTTTTTGTTGCCTTCATACCCTCTGACCCACCTGCTTATATACCCACCCTTCATCTCTTCATCTCGCTTTTCAGACCGAAGCGGCGAACCGAACGAGCGGCGAGCGGCGAACCGAACCGCTCTCCTGTTGAACCTTCAAGAGCGCCATCTCCGACTTCAAGCTTTCAAAGGTCTGGCGGAGTTGGCGGAAACCGTGGCGGAGTGTGAGTGCATGTTTTTCTTGGAGAGGGAACTGCAGTGTTGCGTGCGGGAATTCGAAAACACCTGCAGTCACATGCCAAAACCCAGAGCAAGAAAGAGTCCCCTGTCCCACCCTCAGGGTTAACTGATGGGAGCTGGATTTGTCAAAGTTCTCCGTGCATTGTGTTTTTTTTTGTAGGAGGAAAGATACGCTCCTCCACACTAACATCGAACGATGTTCCTTTACAAAAAGGTGGTTTTCCACTTCCAGCTCCAGGGAGAGCAACACATCACCTCCCAAACACAGGCCTTTAGCTCCCACCTGACCAGGAGCTGTGATGTTTCGTTCCGCTGTGCTCGGCGAAGGGGAGGTTTAAAAGGACTTCCACGACTGGTGGTTCAATGGTTCAACCAAAAGAGACACAAACAGATACAGGCCGCAAGTAGGTAGGTTTGTGTGTGTGCAGTGGTTCTATGGATACCCGGGTTGTGCAAAGTGAACTTTCCATAAGGTTCAGAGAGGAATAGAGCCATCTCACCTACCAAGAAATGTTGGTCCACCAAGTCTTCCCAACACTTCTGTGGTTTTCTGGCTGTTTCCTTGGTGGCTTTTCTGCCGGCAAAAGCCGCATCCCAGGCAGCGGTTATGTGCTGATTCTCAAAGGTTCTTGTAGATAGTGGACTAAAACGTCTTCGGCCTGAAACAACATGTTTTAGCAATGTGTCCAAGAATTCCTGTTTCATGCCGGCGTCGTCCTGTACCCAGCACGTGTTGGATGCTGATTGGTATATTGGACAGAGACACAATAGAAGCAAACATCCTGCAAAATGCTCTTTTTGTATCGTTATTTTTTAGTCTCAAGGATTTGAACATATTATATTGAACAAGAGCATGTCAACATGAGTTCAGTTTATGGGAAACGTCGCATGCATCTTGGTTGGAACGCTGGTGGGCTGCATCGGTCAGAGATTCGGAAGCAGCCCACGACGTGTTGTGTGGCCGACCGGAATGCCCTTTGGTCCGATTCGTTCAGGGCGCAACTCTGTTTGAAGAACGTGCTGGCCGGGGGGACGTCCTTGCCGTGGTTGCTTTTGCCAGCTGACATGACATGGCCACTTTGCGGTCGTTGCTTCAGGCTGTGCCGAGATTTTTCGACGATGGATCTGTAGCGGCTTTGGTGACGGTGCGCGCATGAATCCAGGAACTCCGTTGGTGTAACTTGGGATGGCGTTACGAGCAGTTGTTGACGCACTGGTTGTTTGGAGACTGTTAATAGCGCAACTTGCGGTCCCTGTCCGTCACGGCCTTTCATAGGCAGTGAAAGAGACTGTTAATAACGAAAGAAATCATGTTTGATCATGTTTGCAAGTCTCGACACAAAACTTTGTTTAACTTGATCCGAGGAAGCTAGTCTCTCACGATCCTTCTTGGCCATCTACTTCAGCACCTGCAACCCCACCGCAAAGATGGCCAATACTGGCCACTTGATGGCTTTTCATCAGACATTTTCTTCATCTACGAGGCTTCGTTAAATCTCCGGTGCGATGTGGACGTGCTACGTGAAGGTTACCACAGATCTCACACCTGATCAGATGCTCAAGCAGCTAGATGCTGCTTTCAAACTGCGCTAAAGAAATGTGCGTTGTGCAGCTGAGGTGAGGGGTGCAGGACGTCGAACTCATTCGTTTCGGGCGACCCCACTTTCACGGCATTTCAAGCGGTAATCGGAATTCCATTATATTTCGGCGACCCATGCTGCTGTCTTTCATGGGGTCTGAGGGACGTTGTATTCAGATAGTATATCCAAGTCTGTCTGGCAAAGGTCCTATGTTCAAAAATATAGAATAAAGTCTTTAAAGGCTTCAGGTGATGTAGGATGTCCTCCATCCAGGGCAGTCTACACTTCTCTCCCGTCCTGGCCTTCTCAGCTGCCACCTCTTGCGCTGCCGTTGTGGTCTCCAGCTTGGAGTAATCCGATTGCACCACTTCGAGCATGGCGATGACACCATCACCGCCCTGGGGGCTGTAGGCACCCTCCTGAGAGCGAATAAACAGTGCGCTTGAAAGTCACGCCCAAGCATGACAAGACTAACTACGGCTGACCACATAAATATATATATATATATATTCTGTCTATTTACATAATTGTATTTATTTGGAGGCTGAGTATTGGAGGTTGTCCAACCAACTGCTTCTTAAGAACTCCCGATCGCCGGCCTTGAGGGCACACCATGCACATTTTGTCTCGGGGATTAAAACCAAGTAAACCAGCATTTATTTTGTTGCGAACCTATCTTGCAAATCAGTGTCCTAGTCTTAGGCCTACTGTCTCCAGTTCAGTTTCAATGCCTTCCATTCCAAAGTCTTGGACTGTCCAAAGCCTTGGGCTAGCGCCCAAAAGATCAAGAATCACCCATGGCCCATCTGCCAGCCATCCGTACGAAGACTCAAACGATTGAACATGGACAGTCATTCTTGTGGAGAGTCCACATAGTGCTTTGAAAGAGCTGCAGTGGTTGAATCAACATGTCCAATAGTTTTTCTTAATGACGATGACTCTTTGAAAGCAGAACCCCAGCAATTATGGCCCCAAGACCAACAGAAAATACATGAAAACACTCCCCCAACAAACATGCCATTCTGAGTCCGTACTAGGACACCTCGTCGCACCTCGCATAAACAAATCAGGGACCAGCCTTTTACCCAGCCTTTTACCCAGCATCCCCAGTCCAAGCTTCGAAGATCTCAGGGGCCTCCGGGGCAGGCGGAGAATAGATCTCAGCGCCCGTGAACACCGGGCAAACACGTTGACGTTGGAAAAGGACCCGCAGGAAAGGTCACATCAGGGGCCCATAGTAGTGTAAAATAGAGAGAGAGAGAGAGAGTTCATGAAAATTAGAACAAGCAAAGTAACCGGTTTAACAAAATAGACGCATATATGTTCAACTGTGATCGCCACCAATGACCATCGCTGTGAAGGTGTATTCTGAACGTTGTTGTTGCCCATCAAAGGCACAGCCTGTCTGTGTGGAGGTGCGGGCAGGACCTTGGGGTGTTGAGCCATCTGTTTCCACCGGCGGTCGTGGATTGATCACATCTCTTGGCGACGCCACCGAAGACCACGGGAGCTTCAGGAAGAAAAGAGAATCATCCGTGTGCGCTGGGAAGGCTACCTTTGGGGGA